GCTGGAGGGAGAACTAATGGGACATATGGGGGGACTGATGGGACACATGGAGGGATCTAATGGGACACCTGGGGGGACTAATGAGACATATGGGGGGGACTAGTGGGACACATGGGGGCTGAGGAAAACCAATGGGACATCTGGGGGGGACACATGGGGGGAGATTAATGGGACACATAGGTACTGGGGGGAACTATTGGGACACATGGGGCTGAGGGGGAACTAATGGGACACATTGGGCTGTGGGGGGCTATAGGGACACATGGAGGGCTGGGAGGGGGTATAGGGACACTTGAAGGGCTGGGAGGGGTATAGGGCCACGTAAGGCTGGCGGGGGTAGAATGAGACACATGGAGGGTTGGGAGGGGGGCTATAGGGACACATGGAGGGGCTAATGAGACACATGGAGGGGCTAATAAGACACATGGAAGGGCTGAGGGAGCTAATGAGACACATGGAGGTCTGGGGGATGGATTGAGACACATGGGGTCTGGGGGATGGATTTAGAAGCATGGAGGGGTGGCAGGGGCAATGATACACATGTAAGGCTGGAGGGGGTGAAATGAGACACATGGAGGGGAAGGGGAGTAAAAAGACACACAGAGAGGCTGGGGAGAGAACACGGAGGGGTCTGGGGAGAAAGAGACAGAGGGGCTGGGAAAGGGGAACAGGAGACACACAGAGGTGCTGTGGAAGGGAGAATGAGACACACAGATGAGCTGTGGGGAAAGAGACACAAAGTGGTGATGTGGCCTGAGAAAGAGACTCACAGAAGGGCTGGGGAAGGGGAGAATGAAACACACAGAGCAGCTGTGGGGAAAGAGACACACAGAAGTGCTGCGGCCTGGGAAAGAGACTAACAGAAGGGCTGGCGAAAGAGAGAAAGAGACATAGGGGCAGGGGCTAAGAGACACATGAAAGGGGCTTGGGGGAGAAAGACACAAACAAAATGCATCTTCACTTGTGTCTCCTGCTCTCCCTGTTATTTAGAGTCGACCGGTGAGAGAAAGACTTCATATTAAAGGGACACTATAGTCACCAGAACTTCTACAGTTTAATATAGTGGTTCTGGTGTCTATAGCCTGTCCCTGTATGCTGAGCACTGTAAATGCTACCTTTTCATAGAAAAGGCAATGTTTACATTGCTACCTAGAAACATCTCTAGTGACAGTCACTCAGACAGCCACTAGAGCTGCTTCCAAGTCCAGTGCTGCACAGTGTGCAGCACCTATGTTGAGAATCTCCACGCTCTGCAAGTGCTAAATGCTCCCCATCGAGATGCATTAATGCAATGCATCTCTATGAGGAGATGATGATTGCGATGAAGCGCAGCGTTTTGCCACACATGCACAATAGCCTCCCAATTCTTTCCTATAGGAATGAAATTGGCGTTGCTTGAGATCATCCAGTTGTCAGCCAAAGTGAACAGCACACTCTTGTTACTTCAAAATAAGCAAGATAACGTAATTTATTTTTTACTGCTGTGCAATAACATACATTCACAATTTCAGTCCAATTAGGAAACTTTCCTTAATATGTCAAGGTAGTTGGACTGAAACATTGATTATATGGAATACACGTCTGTTTACAACAATTTCGCTCTTTTGTTTATTTTGAAGCCCTATGAGTGCTTTCTTTCACGTTTGAGTGATAGTTTCCACTTTTAAGGTTTTTTTCCCGCTTCCATATATGCACACTATGCTGGCGCAATGCATTATGGGGCTGGTATAGAATTTTTTTCCAGGGCTGCTTTTCATTCCCAGTCCGGCCCTGATTGGGAAAGGGAATTTAATTTGGGGTTTGTTGGGTTCCAGGGGCCAACAGTCAAGCAGAGAGATGGTCTGTTGTAGCAGGTGGTAGCTGTTTCAAGAACTGGAGAAGCGTGGATATGTTTGATAAGTTTGTTTGTTTTTTGTTTCTTGTTAAAATATTTTTTTATTAGGTCAAAGAAATTCTACTTATCAATTTCATATTGACTGAGTCACATGCTGAAAATTAATCTGACCCAACAAAATTACAAATGAGGGTAATAGTTTCTATAGGGATAATGCTTCTTTTGTGATATTCAGTTATTGAAAGTGTCATATTCAGCAGAGTACATGAAATAAAACCTTTAACTACCCTTTATTATGACTGTTGGACTTTATCATCCATAAAAAAGAAACATAGTATCAATGTTGGCGTTTTCACAATATAATTGCCAGTTTGGAATTTGAGCATAGCTGACATAAACAGGGCATCTGTTATCAGATAAACGATTCACCACGGCCATATTAATAAGGTAGAAAGTAATGACACTGCTAAAAACAGATTACACAGATTAGAACCCCGTCGCCCAACTCCACAGTCACTAAATTACAAGGCATAAACTGCAGTT